GACTGTGTATCATCAGGTGTAGTATGCAAATTTTGTTGGTTGTCTTGGTACATCATGGTGGTTTCCGCTAAATCCAAACAAACCTGACTAAGAGAATAGTGACGCTTCCCATCAGGAGAGATATAACGGTGTCTGAGGGCTCCATTTTCATCCCTCGCATATTCAATTTTCCATTTAAGATGTATGAGATGTTTTCTAACATCTGTTTTCAAAGAATTCCTATCACTTTTTTTATTGGTTTGTGCATATTCGATAATCACAGTAGGACAATACTCAGCTCCAGGAACTATATCTGGAACAGCAGATCGCCAAATCCAATTTGTCTTGCACTTAGAACTTACAAACTCCCCTGTTATCTTATTGGACTTGATGCTAGAAAATGTTTTATTATTGCTATCGTTTATCACACTACTACCTGAACTTCTATCTGGATTGGAAGGTAACACCATCAGAGCCTGGGGTAGCACAGACAATGATTTATCATGGCTAAATCCATCTGATCCATTCATAAGATTCAAATTTGGCCCAGCATCCTCTGAAACAGATATTAATTGAAGCTGATCAGACTTCTCTTGAACAGGTTGTGTGCTACTATGATTCACATTTACTCCATCACAGTTCCCTTGCTTCTCACCAGACACAATAGCCTGCGACTTTCCAAGTTCTACTGGATGCAATGTAACATCACCTACAGGACTGACAAATTCCAATAGTCGCTGGGTTTCTTTTTCCAAGGAAAATGGATGGCCTAACACCCTTTGAACATTATCTAAAAGAATTTTATAGTTATCATCAATCACCTCTGATACCAACTCTTTCCACAATGATCTCACAGAAGAGGTCCAGTCCTTAACCTTCTTAAAACCTTTCTTCCCCCGCAAATCATACCAAATTTGTTTCACTGAAACCGTAAGATATGACTCTTTCTCATATTCCTCGATCAACTCAAGAAACAACCAGGTACCCCGACGGTGCCAAGTCCCTTTACCTTCATTCCAATCATGAGTAACCCTGAATGAATCAATTCCAATTGCCATCTCATCCCCCAAGTCAGGAAAGAAAATCCTCCTCTCCTGGAAACCATCATTGTGATCAAATATCACACCTTCCCACCAAGCCTCCTTGTAGTAGGCATCCACACAGAGTCCATAAGGAAGGCTCCGTTCCTGAAACTCAAATGCAGGCGGCAATGGCCTTATGTTTCCACGGTTATGACATTGATTTGCATTGGTACAACAAGTGCCATCAACAATCGGTGAAACACGCACTAAATCTACAAGATTATCACACCCATCATCAGTGAGGAGATGATCATATTTTACATGACGAAGAAGCTTTCTACAAACAGTGACGACTCCTGAGTGCCATGAACCCAAAAACCCGTGTTCTTCACTCCTCACCTATCAGATTCCATACATATTAATACACAAAACTGAAACCCCAATTAGAAAAAAAAATACCAAACTGAAGGAAATTTCCTCAAAACCAAAATACACACACACAAAAAGGAAATTGAATTTTGATTTAAATATTTAATAAGCAATAGTAAAATTTCAATTGGACTAACAACAATATAAATTCTGAAAGCATGATAAAATAACAGATTAAAAAATAAAGTCACTTTAAGAAAAGCAACAGAGAAACCCAAAATCAAGCCATGCATGAATGCCAAACAGAACATAAACCATCCATAGATAGAAAATAATAATGAAACAACCAATTTAAAAATACAATGTAGCTAAAATCAAACTCATAAACCACTTAACTCCAAACCCTACACTCAAAAAAATAAAAATAAAAACAAAAACTTTAAAGAAGACAAAACAAAAAAGATTAAAAACAAAGCACAAACAAAACAACGCCGAGAACAAACACAACAGACACAAAAACCCCACAACAAAATAACAACCCCAGATACTAAAAACCAAAAAGATTCACAAAAATAACAATAATGTAGACGATAAAGAACTCAAAACGATGCGGCATTGATGAGGCGTTTACATTACCTCTACTCTCTCACCATCCTTCAGTTTCATACGCTTTCGTTTATTACCAAACGCTGGTTCAACAGCCATTGAAGACCAGAAAAAAAAGAGTTTGCAAGTTTGCGTTGGATGTGTTGTTACATATGGGAATCAGAACGAGCGTGAAACTATGAGAAACTTGAGAGGAATTCGCAGTTATATGCAATCTATACTTCTACTTAATACTTTGCCACCAAGTAAGAGCGTCAACTGTGTCAGGCAACACATAAAACTCTCTCTCTCCCACCACCACGATATCTCACCGTTGGTTTACTTGGACCGAACCACAACTGACGGCTCTGATTTGGCTTTGTTTTCTTTTAGGGTAAATAACTGTAAACCCCCTGTTTTTATCATTTTAAAGACTACACCCGTCAAATTTAAAACGATAACAAATTAACCCCCTAATGTTACTAATGTACCAAAATTTAAGGGTGTAATCGGAGACAAGAGGGGCATTTCTGTTATTTTATACATTCATACATCGTACAGGGGCATAACGGAAAAAGGCTGTGTTCTGTTTAGAAAACAAATTCCGAATTTTACTTTGAAACGAGTTGAATTGTCTGTGGGTGTGTGCATGTTAGGAAGGTGTGTCATCAAAGGTAAGAACCAGTAATCGGACGGCATATATACTGGTGAGAAGATTGGGTGGGACCGATTTGTGACTGTGATTTCGTATTGAGCGGTTGATGATTCTGTACGAACAAAGTACAGATAATTAACGTTTAGTGATAGAATGGGAATAAAGAAAGGAATCCCTTTGGGTTTCAGGAATTCGTTTAAGATCCGAAATCAAAGTAGGAAATTTTATCTAAATTACATTTAAGTAATCTCTTAAGCGGAAAATCTCACATAAGAATATGAGAAGATTGTTGAAGGAGGAAAGTTATCTATAAATGGTTGTATTACGAGTTCACTTATATAATTTTTATTATTTTTAGGGTAATATTACGCTTATAACATAATCTCAAAAACTTTTTCTTATAAACCCTGACGTAATAGTTTGTAATTAATCAATTTATAACGAGTCATACCTGTCCAATTATGAACTAATTAATTGTGAGCTATTACGTGAGAATTATGACAAAAAATTTATAAGATTAGATTGTGAGTAAATCTTTATTGTTATTTTTATGTTTAATTTTAATTTGTAAGATAATAGAAATTGTATGAATATTTGGTTATTAACTTTAAAATCCTTAAGAATTAACGGAGGTAAACTGACATGAACACCTTTTGTCACATAAAAAAACGGAGTTAATGTGACGTGAATATTGATTTAGTTATATAACTTAATTATTAATTGATTTAGCCATTAATAGAATAGCTAATTAATTGATAAAAATAAAATTGTAAAGAAATTATAAAGAAAGAGAAAAAAATAAAATAAAACGTACCGTTTCCCAAGAGCACAAATTGAGTTTTATGTTGACGCTTAACCTCATCAATTGAGGAGTAATCAATATCATTAATTTAATTTTCCATTGTTTGGAATCAAAATATATTATATTGCGAATAAAAATATTGAATTTAATTTTTCAAAGATCTCCAATGTCAGATGGAATATAATAAACCATCTGACATTGGAGATCTTTGAAGATATTATATTACGAATAAAAATATTGAATTTAATTTTTCGTCGACATTAAGCAATAGAATTGAAGTAGAGTTATGCTTGAAGCTTTCATAAATTGGCGAGTAAACTAAAATTTTTTTGGTCAGGTAATTTTAAAATACAATTTTACTATTACCCAAATTTATATTATATTTTTGGCTCCGCACTATCACTATTTTCTTCTCCAATCATTACTTACAAAAATCCCTCAAATCCTACTTCATTCAACCTCGACAATCATCGGTAATCAAGCAATTAAGGTTTGTACAACTGTCCTCTCAAGTCAAATTTTGATCACTCCCAATCACCAAAATCCAACATTCCATTATCAAAAGATTTATCCACCTCCCCTCTTCAAAAGTCCCAACAATCTAGACCGAGTTTACTCTTTGTTCGCTGCCAAAATATATATTTAGGTATTAAAATGATATTTTAAAAGTTTGTATGTAAAAAAATGTTATTAAACCATTATTTGGATGGAAAAAGGTGGTTAACTCTAAATTAGCATGTCATTCTTTTTGTATTGACTTAATTTAATCTGTAATATTACACTCATAAACCTTTTTCACTAATTTTCTCTCACAAATATGATATAGCAACTCATAATTGATCAACTCGCAATAGATCTTGTCTGCCTAAACGATGAGTCATGTCTGACTAAATACAAATTAACCAATTATAAACTATCACATAAGTGTTAATGAGAAAAGTTTGTGAGAAGTGTTTGTCTTTATTCTGATTTAATCATTGGAATATCAATGTTATTTATAAGATTACAAGGTGGTCTTGAGAGGAACAAAATCTGAGGTAACTCTTAGAAACAGGAAAATTCTTCCAAGAAGGAAGAACAGAAGATTCAGAAAGCAGATACTCTATGTTGGTCTTGTAAACAGGTCGGACATGAAAGGGCAAAATACTGCAAAAGACGAGTACTTCCGAAGCTTGATCTTCGCGCGCTCCAAGCGTTTGACTTCACAACAAAAGAAATGGTTTGATGAGCACAAATATTTGTAAAGGATTTTAGCTTTCTAAAGAACTGCAAGCTGACTTTGGCTAGTCAAACGCTATCGGAAAGTCTAGAAGCTCAATCCAGGATTGCCATGGCAACAGGTCAAGGTTTTGTAGAGCTTAATAACTGTTTGCAGAAGTTAGCCAGGAGGCTGGCATGGCTAGAAGTAGAAGCTGACAAATTATTTTAGGAGGAATAAGAGTTTAAAGGACGAACTCCTATTTGCAATACAACGATTCAGAAAGTCGAGGTAATAGAAAAATGTCAATGATTTAATAGTAAAATTAGCTAATCAATTGACAAACCAAAAACATATATAAAATGATAAATCACTGTTTTAAAAACAAATTAATTAAGAAAAAGATAACATATAGTTTAATTAACTAGAAAATGGAGTCAACAAAAACACAGAAACATTAATTATTGAATGTTGACTGTTGAGCACTCTATAATAAGCTGTAGCAAGCACCTAATTAATCCTGATGAATTTTGAACCTTTCCAGCCCAACTTTATAACCTAAAGTCTTAATGTCATCTTGCACCTGCGCCCGGAAATCACTGTAAGTAAAAGGCTTGTAGTTTGAGCTCCGAATCACACTGCCTTCTTCTGGGAATACAAAGTAGCAGATTGAGAATCTCTCCACCTGTTTTTTCGTTTTCACTCTGTGCTTCGCGCTCATGTACTCATCGTTACTGATTGCCTACAAAGTAATGTCAAACAAAATTAATCTCTGTAATCAGCATCTTAATTCATATATATATAAATCTTTATTATGAGGAGTAATTAACCTGCATCATGTCTCCAAGATTTATAATCATTGTGCCAGGAATGGGTTTAACTTTGAACCATTTATCGTCTTTGAACAGTTCAAGTCCGCCCACAATGTCTTGTTTCAGTATAGAGAGAACCGAGCTGTCTGTATGCAACTCCATGCCTAGAGCCTCAGTTTCAGGTAAACCCGGGTAGCGATAAGCTCTCACATACCCAGTGGATTCTGATAGATTAGACTTGGATTCTTCAGAATCCAAATTAAGGTTCTTCACCATTGCTTCAAATAGTGTTTTAGCAAGCCTTCCCATATGCCTCCCGTATTCCTCCAACAAAAGTCTAGCAATTAAAACATACCAAACAGGCAAACATTATAATTAAATAAAACTTGTCGACGGTGTGTAAAACATGCATGGTGGAAATCGGTACGGAAAAGGGCAGCAATGAATAATGAAGAATAACTGGGAGGTTCTTATCAAGATTTAGTATTCCACTACTAATAATGAAAGTGATGTTGTTGTTGTTAAAAAGAGCTAAAGCAGACTTTTTTTTCCCGGAAAAAGACGTAACCCCTTTTTGATTGAATGATTGTCTGTCAGAATCCACGGACTATCCATTACAGTAAGATTAATAATCCACTTATAATATAAAAAAAGCATGTTTAAGAGAGATGATAAGGAGGGCTTATCTTCTGTGTCGCTTTGCAGTTTAATTTATTGGCCATTACAATCTCCAAAAGTTGCTCAAATTTTCTAGCTGGTTCCTGATATTTTTAAGGGAGATTGAGAGAACCAGACCAATATTGGATTGATTGAAATTATCGAAGTATAATTTCACAGCGATGCAATAAAAACCAGACATTAAAGGCACATGTCAAAATACTGAAATGCTGTTGGTAGGGAGAATTCAATATTGATGAGGAAAGGAAATATCAGAATTCAGACCTCATATCGCACCAAAACTCTATTATTTTTCTGTTTAAAGAGTAACTGAGAAGTGGCTTTAAAAAGTTCTTGACACTGACCATGCAAATCTTTGGTGTTCAAAAGCAAGATCCAGACTATCCAATCAATATGTGTATGTCACATCTAGGTTTTGTTATTGCCCACCCCACCAGAGACCAATATAAATCTTAGACCAAAAAATAATAAAATAATAAAAAGAAGAGAACTCCCAATGAAAAGCAATCAAACAATAAATGACAAGAACCAAAGTGATAAAACTATACCTGAAAGAATGAAGCATGGGATCTTCATCGGCTTGAAACTGAGAGAGTTGACTGAGAGGAACGTTGAATCCTTCAACCCAGTTTATATTGTTGGGACCTCTTGATAAGGCAGTTCCCGATGGAGTAAGAGCAGGAGTCCCCCAAAAGTAGGACACTGGACTAGTGAATAACCTTTGTTTGGATTCAAACGATAGAGAAAAAACCTTTTTGGCTTGTTCTTGAAGTTGGTTCATAAGGGTCAAAGGAACTTGATGATTAACCAAACGAAACATACCCCATTCTTTACATGCCTCCCCAAGTTTGTCCAGGTTTATACACTGGAGATCTATCAGAGGAATAAGATCTAATGAATCCTCTTCATCAGCCGGATCATACTTCTGGCTTTGCTCCTTGTTTTGGTGGCGAAACGCCGGAGGGTAAGATCCAAGATTGCTCATTTCTTTTTGTGTCAAGTTGATGATGGTTAATGTGAGACGATATTTATAATAATATAGAGTAGAGAAGAGTTAATGCAGGAGTTATTGTATTTGTCTGTGACAGTGAGGGTCC